AACTCACCACTTGTCATATGCATGACTACGTCTTTTTTTTTCTGACGTTGATCGTACCAGGTTCACATAGCTCCAAGGCAGAAATTGACTTGTATTTATAACATTCAATATATAAGCTTTAGATATTATGAAAAACAGATATAGTGATACATGACATTTCGATGAATAAGAATTTTCAAATGAAAGTTGCATTGAAATGGACAATAAGTGATAGTGGTTTTCTTACATATGAATTGCTATCGAGTTGGAACATTGCGAAAAAATTAGATTGTTCTTATTGTATGAAACTGTTGAACACATTTACCATAAAGCATTACAAAAAAAATTCTTGATTCAACTATCATCACGACCTTAAAAAATAGAGTTGAGAAATCAAAGTCTTCACTAAGAATTAATTGTGATTTGTGACAGATGGTTGTGCAATTTTGAAAATCACTGAATTCCCAGAACTATCTTCACAATCTTTCCGATTTTAGAGTTGCTTATAATTTGATAAATCAGTGTATTTTCTAGGAACTAGCGTAATGGAGAAAAAATTTAATTATGCATAATCTTAATTCAAGCACATTGAGAAAAAAATTTTCTATAATATTTTCCAGTGTGATGAATTGTAAAGGTAAAACTAAAAATAATGTTAAAGTAGCATCGAATTTGAAGGAGGATTCTAAAAAAAGAAAGTTTGAACGAAGAATAGTCAAATAAAGAAGTCAAATTTAAAAAAGAGACAAGTGTAGATAAATTGATAGTCTATTATCTTTACCCTGGAACAACGAAGAATAATATGTAAATGGTTGAAGTCTTTGAAGTTCTCTAACGGGTATGCGACTAACTTGAGACGTTGTGTTGACCGGGAGCAAGAAAGATTTTTGTAGAAAAATCATTACTGTCATATATTCTTGCAATATTTGTTACCTACTACATTTAACACTTTGTCAAGATTGATAATCATTTAATTGAAAACAGAGCATTATTTATAGATTTATATCCTGTTCATTTGAAAGTAGATGCATTGAGAAAATTTAAAGTGAGTATTTCATTGATAAGATGCAAATTTAAATGAATATTTCCTCCAAACTTATTTGACTTAATGAAGCATCTGTACGACATCTACCTCATGAGGCTATACTAAAGGGCTCAATGTAATGCGGGTGGATGTATCTGCTTGAAATATATGTATTTTAAATGTCTAACTATATAATTTATAAATAATCATTATCATAATGTATTAAATAATAAATGATATTGCAAATTTTTTAATAAAATAAAAAAACATGAAAAATAAAGTACATCCTAAAGGCTCAAAATGCGAGGCATACTTGCTACAAGAGACAACTATTTCATGTTATTGTTTTGAGCAACATCAACAAATAGACCAAGCTATAGATGACATTCCCCCACAAGTTAAGGCTTCCCCCACAAGTTACATGCTCCACTTGCCTCTTCTTCAGGAGCATGTAGATAGAGAGTGGAGCATGTAGATAGAGAGTAGTTACATACTACCAGACCCATTCCCCCACAAGTTAAGAATTCCCCACCCATACAAGTCTTAGTACGCTGCCACCTTCAACCTCCTTCGAGGCAGGCACCTCCTCTTATGTCCTTCCTACTATGGTGGATTTTTTCAGATTTCATCCACCCAAGCAGCATGTCCATAAAATTATGGAGTCATCAAGAGTCAAGGAAGATACTACATATTTACATGGAAGATCCCAATAAAATTTCAAGATATATGGTTCCGAGAGTTTGAAGTAAACTATGTAAATTTGAATTACATTTATCATTTTAAGTTATTTTTTTTATAATAATAGACATTGTTTAATTCTTGTTTTGCAAAGGGACTTCTGCTAGGATGCTCATCATCAACAAATCTAGCGAAGCCTCGAGGATCGTGGCCAGAACAGTTTGGGAGACATTTTCACTGCAAATCACAAGACTGGGGAAGGGCTCATGGGATCGGGGAGAAAGTTTGGGCTGAGTTGTACAAGGTTTTGGCCTCTCTAGACTATCTCAAGAAGAGGTAAAAGACTCGGTGGAACTGGGCGGGGAATGAGGGGACCCCCTACACGCCGGTGGCTCGATCCCCCATACTGAGTATAAGAGGATGTTGAGGCTTATTGAATGTGTTAAATTTACATCTGTAATTATTTTTTGTACTAATTAACCTTTTTATGCATTAACAAGAGAAATCATTCGGATGGGAGCCCACCACCGTTGAGTTGCAAAAACGCAATCATTGGCGTTAGTCGAACCAAAAGTGGGTCGATCATAGATGTCATCGTGTCAACTTAAATTCAATAAATTCTTTTAATTGCATAATTTATTAACAATCTTATTTATTTATGCTAAGTATCTTTTACAATCTTTTTTAGGATCTGTATGTGCACCTGAAGGAGTCCCAAAAGTCAGAGACCCTAGATGTGGTCAATCGCCTTACCAATCAGACTTCAAGATTGGAGAGAGGCTACATAGGGCTGAAGAAGGGGAGGGTGAACAGTCTCAAAGCTCGGAGATTTGTTTATAGGGCACAACATTATTGTTCTACTCAGAGGTTGTCATCAATTTAAGACAAAGTTTTCAGGCGTGTCAATGCACTCACTGAGAAGTTACATGTCTAGTATGATCTGCATGACTTGGAATCTGAAATGATGGGGAGGGACCAAGCTAGGGATGCCAAAGTTGAGAGCCTCGAGTCAACCATGCAGGAGCTGCAACGCCAGGCAGGTTGTCATGGCAAAAGACCAAAGTCCGACGTAATTGAGGAGGAGGAGAAGGAAGATGATGTTGAACCCGAAGATGATTAATTTCTTTTTTTCTGTGGCTGCAATTTGAACTCATTTGAACTTTTTTCCATTGTTCGTATTGATGCTATTATGTTGGATATTTGAGGGGTATTGTTAGATATGTTATCATTTCAATCAATTTAATTTCCTGTGTTATTATATGTTATTATGAGATGTTGTGGATGTGAATGTTATTCAGTTCGTCGTGTGATTGCATGCAAGTAATATTTCTCGTAGTAGGTGATGTTATTTTTTTATACAGTTGCCTAGTGGTTCGCGACTAAAAATTCAGTCGTTATTTATTTACCAACTTAAAGAATCAGCCGTTAATCTTATGGCAAAATTTCTCGCTTATACTAAGTCGAAACACTGGCGGCTAAAACTTCAGCAGCTAAATGTTAGCGGGGGATAAAATCAGCCAAAAACATTACCAATTGGCTCTTTTTCAGTCGCTAATCATTTACCAACGAGCCTTTTTCTGGTTCGCTATATTCAGTTGGAAATCAATTGCTAATCTAATTTATCGTCAAATAATCGGGAAATTTCATGTAGTGCTTTACACCACCTCAGATAATCTTGTAATTTAGATAATGAACCATTGTGTTAACGGGTGAATATTAATCAGGGGTAAGTAGATACGTTTCCACATTAAACAATAGTAGACCTGATAAAGGTGACCTATGCGTCGATGGAGTATGCATCAATTAGATGTGTTTAAGTTTATGTTAAGAAATTTTTCCTGAGATAAACATACAAGCTATAAGAAAAATGTGCATTAAAGTTAAAAAATTAAAACTTAAAAAATAAAACAAAAGATAATTCATATAAAAATTTTAGATTTCTTCCATGAGCAAATATCATGAATATACGATTTAAATTATTATATGATTTTCTAAATTATATTAGGAAAGACCAGCATGCATGGTGCATTCTTTTCTTCGGGTTACCATAATGTAAAAATATAACTATTTCAATGGGTTTTCTTGAATAATTCATTATGTTGTTTTAATATTTTTTATATTTAAGCTTTTTGAATAAAAGATGAATACAAAATAAGAAAATGTGTATAGGATGAGAGGTAAGCAAACAAAAAAGTAAACTTTTTATTACATTAAATTATGATAATTTTTAGTTGTTTTTTAATATGTTTAAAAAATTTTGTTTTCACCGTCGGACCATTTGATCCTGCCTTAATTTTCAAGCCCTCGGGCAAAATAGTGACATTATCAACCAACATCATATTGAGTTTTTTGTTAGCATTTTAAGCAAAAACATGAACAACAATATTGAATACCAAATAAAGGCACTTAAAGTGAATTCTATTGTATCTCATGAAAAGCAAGCTATGTAATAAATCATCCAAAAAATAAGGTCAAATTTTTCAAAGATGTTTTAATGCTGGAATGACAACTAAGTGCTAAAAAAAATGGTAGGGGTAGTACATGTGAAAATAAGGTAGAGAAAATAGACTCAAATAAATTGAACATGTACAAAAGATGAAATAAAATGCACTAATAAGATAGGCACCAGAAATAAATATTAACTGCATAAAAAAGGGCTACTAAAATGGAAATATGGCTCTAAGTTTCATAGAACGAGTTGTGTAACCTACAGTAAACATTTTGTAGCATTCTATAACAAAAAATAAAAGGAAGATTCAAAGAGCTGACCATAAACAATTTGGAGCAAAGCCTAAATGTTGAATAATAATAACGTTCTAAATCAAAAGTTACTCTGCAACCTTCCGAATTGTGTTTTCTCAGAAGAATTAGTGAATAAATGGTTAGGTGGACCGGCATTATGGAAGCACTTAGAGGTACTTGTAGTTTTCTATATTTCTTATTGAACTTTTTGTTACCATCAATCCTTTAAATTTCAAGAAATTATAACAAGTAAACAACAAAGAGGTAAATAAATTGGTACGTTCTCTGAAAAGTAAAGCAACCTTAGATAGATCTTTTAAAATGACAATGCATGTGTAAGTCTTTCTGAACAATGAATGCTCTAGGAAAAATATGAAAACATATGAAAATAAAACAAAAGCCAAATTTTAAGTCTTCTTAAAGATTACATATTAAAGCACAGACATCACAACTCAGAATTAATATAATTTAAAATTTGAGCATTAATGTTAATCCAAATATATAGTTGATGCAGATTACTAATAAACCTTCAAGAACCTGTCAGGCAAGGAACTTGAGTTAATGGACTGTTTCCGACCTTCTCGTCATACCGAAATAGTGAGAGATCAAAATATGGTGAAGGGCTTTGGGACTGGCATGTGCAAGGCAATGAAGTCAACATCTTCTTCACGAACTGTCAAGGATAACAATAACGGTCAACAGTGTCTATTACATTCTATTCTAACGATGTAATTGGTGCAAACTTGCAACTCGACATCTCTAGCATAAAAAGTTCTTCTCGAACACAACTTGCAAGCAGCATATTTGTGAATATATATATATATATATATTCACAAATATGCTGCTTGCAAGTTGTGTTCATATAGAAAGATAACTTGTAAAACAGCATATTTCTGAGAAAACAAGACAGCCTATTTACTTGAAAAAATTTTCAGTCATTCATTTATGTGAAAGTAAGTTCTTAACAGTCACCATTTGGTTTTTATAAATATGACAATTCCTTTTTTATCGACAAATCATAACATCCAAAGATAACATACAGTACAGGGATGCATATGATTGTATGCTTTAAGCACACTTTTCATTCCAAAGGTAATCTTCCTCTTGTATCCATGGTGTAACGAATGGCTTGACAAAGAGACAATTCACACAATTCCTTCATACATACCACTCAATTCCTATGTATTTACATATATAACACCTAAACTTTATATTTTATATTTATACTACCCAAATCTTTCATATCAAATCAAAAATACCACTATTTTAAATTTTAAAAGTGAAATACATCTTCTCTTGCATAGATGAGGTGACATATATGAAAAAATTGAAGTTTAAGTATTAGATATGTAAATACTTAAGCATTGATCAGTATGTACCAAAATCTTTCTTTTTCTATCGTGTCTCTTATCCACATGCTGCACCAAAAGCTTGTTATGAAAAATTAAATAATGCTCTATATGGATAATCTATGCTTCCTTGCATAAGCTCATTTCTAAAACTGATGCAAGATGCATTAGAAGCCGCAGGACAATGGTTGTCAAACAAAAAACTCAATTCACGAATAACTCATGTTTGCCTCATTAAATAGTTCGTATTTGATTCATTCGTTCAATAAGTGAGCCGAGAATGAAAAAAAAATTTAAGCTCGCACTATAAGGTCAAACATGAATGACCCTTGATTCGATCATGTTAAACTAGTTTTAGTTCGAAAAAAGAAAATTATAAATATTATTTATTAAATAATATATTTTATATAGTTATATCTAACTTTAAATCACCATAGCTCATGTGGTCATGTGTCTTTTATTATATAAGAATGGCGTAGGTTCGAATCTGGTACCTTACATCTATTTTTCTAATTAATTTGAACAAGCCAGTTCGAGCTGAACACAAGCTGAAAAAGAAAACGAACACTTTTTTTAGTAGAACACAAACAGGCTGCTCATGAGTCATGAGCCATTTCGAAGACAAGTCAATTTCAAACATAATAAAAATATAAATGAGCTGAACAAGATCACATGTACGGCTCACTCAAGCTCAGCTCATTTACATGTCTACGCGAGACTCATTACGAAACACAAGATGCATTACAAAACACGAGACAGGTTACAAAACGAAAGATCCGTTACGAAATGCAAAATCGCATTTGAGCTAAACATAATCTGTTATTTCGTGTTTTCATGCAATCACAAAAGTGGATCGCAAGCAAGCCAGGGGAATTTCGCCCTCAAGCTGGAATTGAGACTTGATTTCAACTTGTTAAGCATGAACCGAGAGCTTCCTGCACAGTTTTTTTTTTTAATTCAAGCCCACCAGCACTCTCAAATCCGTCCTAACAATTGAATGCTTTAAGTGAGGATGAAATCATTTACAAAGCAGGTAAACAATGACACAAAAGACACTGAAGAAAGTGGGGACGCAAAGGAAGAGCAACAACTTCTAGCTGACGAAAGAAAAATGATAATGATTCAAGCTATGCCCACAAGAGATCACAACAGGATTAACATTCATTTCCCAAAAAGATAGTGAGTCCGAGAAACCAATATTTGAAAAAAGGAAAGCCCCTATTGAAAATGTCATTAAATATCATGACTAAGTACTTACCTTCTTGTGGCTACCACTAAGTGTGTACCAGCATGTCATAAATTTTACTCCAAAGTTAGTTCCTCCGGATAGACGTGTTTATTAAATGTGCCAAGCTAAGCACGAGAAGTAGGAAAAATAGATAACATATTTAATAGCTCGAGATCAAGTTTGTGAAAATACCCATCTATGTATAATTTCAGCTCTGATTGTACCAAAAGAAAGATATTTAATCTATCAAGATGGTCTTTGGAAGAACATCTGTGCTTTGAAATTGCCTGAAATAGGCGTGAGCATCAATTTTTGAAGTAAGACTGCCTCAAACATAGTAAGATGATGAATTTGTTATGATGGTGATAGATCGATACCAAAAACTTTCAGACAAGCCTCGTACCTTGGAAAAATGATGTGGAGCATCAGATTCGCGTAATGGTATCGCGGAAATCCGTGCTTCGGCAGGATTGTAGAATCTCGCATTTCCATGGGATTCAAGTGCAAGAGAAAAAAGAATAGCTGTGGTTTTTCAATTCAGTGATTTTTTCCTTTTTTGATTTTTTTCCTATGTTTTATTTTGAATTAGAGCAATTTATATTAGGAGCCTATTTATATGTTGGCTTTTTTTTGTTTTGGGAGAGACTTATGTGTCATTTGAATACTATGATTGTCTTCTCTGATTATTGTTCTTCAAAGTGATTTCGACTTCTCGGAGCTTTGTATTATCTTATTTTTGCAAGTAGTATATCTATATCTAGTTTAGGAATGAATGAAGGAACCTCCTCAAGGCCCTTATCTCACCCTTTTAGCCATCAAACTTGTTCATCTCAACCAGGGCAGCCACTTCAAATCTGTTGTCCAACAGAAGATTTATCCCTGCAATCCCTTCTCAACACCATCAATCACAGATATTAGCCTTCCCTCACTATTCCACAACAACCTCCCAGCCATATTTGTTTCCTAAACATCTTCTAGAGCCCTAGAGCAGTATCACTAGTGCTAGGCCATGACATTTTCTAAGGTTATGGATGATGTCCCGACCAAGGTTTGGTCGTGTCATCTAAGATCATTCAAACTAGTTCAAAATGGTTAGCTCACTAAAGTCATCGACTAGATACCCAAACAGCGTCACCGAGTCACCCATCATATGTTTATTGGCTAAAGGCATTCAATGTCATAATTTTCAAAAAAAAGAAAAAAAACTTAAAACAAAATGTTATTGACTAATTGTAGGTGAAAAAGTACCTTAAAATGAAATCATTCAATAATAACCATGAATGTCCAAATTCATCTAAGATAATTGAGCACGGCATCACTAATATAGCTTAGCTTTGAGAAGTCAAATTTTAATTATTCTTTTTCATTTGCTAAGGGCTTGTTTGGGACCAATTTTGTTTTTTATTATTTTTTCCTTTATTTTTAAAAATAATTTAATTTAGCGTGTTTTCTATATTTTTGTATCAAAAAAAAAATTAATACTTTCTAAAGCACTCAAATTAACTTTTAGATGTTTTGAGTGCTTTAAAAAACAATCATATCTTGGGGCCTTTTGGTGGAAAAACGCAAAAAATCCTATTTGGTTGTAGCGGTGCTGCAATGGTTTAGTCACCGCGTCCTTAAATACGGACAACGGGTTTGACCAAACAGTACATAGCTACCCTCCTCTCGCCACGGTTCGAACTCTCTCGCAAGACTGTCCTACTCTCCTCTCTTGTGTCTCGTCCCTAGGTATCTTCTCCTCTCTTGCTTCCCTCCAATCCCCAGTTCCGGTAACACAAGATTGCCTTCTCCTCTCTCTCTCTTCTATATGATCTCCGACTAAGTTTAGTTTCTTTGCTCTCTGTCCTCCTCTGGTATCCTTTACCCCTTCTCTTTGTGGTTATGTCGTATTTTCTTTGCAGTATGAGATTCATTGTCGTGTGTGGCTTGCTCTTTGGGATTTGTGGCTTGCACTATGGAGAAATCGAATTTCTCTTTTGGAAGGATGGAATTTTGAAATTTTTCATTTATGTTTTCTTTGAAATTTAGAGGCATTTGCTCTTTACAGTTTGTGCTCTTTACTCTAATCAGTTTCTGGTTCAATGTGGTTTGTGGCCTCTAGAAGGAATGGACTTGGAAATTGCACTTTTTTTGTTCTTGTGACATTTGGAGGTTGCTTTTTTGCGGGTTGCTATTGGTGGTTTGCTCTTTTTCTGCGATATATCGAATGAGTTGCTCATTGTGATTTATAGCCTCTGTGTATGCCCACTGAAATTTTGATTTTTATGCTCCATCTCTCAGTCGGGTTGCTCTTGGTAATTGGCCCTTTTTCTCGGATGGATTGCGCATTGTGGTGTGTTGTAGTAGATGTGGTGGCTTGTGGGTGTGGTTGTGTAGTGGTTGTGGTGTGTTGATGGTGTGGTTGTGGTGGTTTGTTGGTGTGGTGGTGGTGGTGGTGGTGGTGGTGGTGTGGTGATAGTGATGATGTAATTGTGTGTAGATGGTTAATGTGCGCTGGCGGTGGTGGTAGTGTGTAGGTTGTGACGATGTGGTTGTTGTGTGTTGGTATTGATGATGTAGTGGTAGTGTATTGATATTGATGATGAGGTTGTGTGTAGATAATTGATGTGTGGTGAAGGTGGTGTGTTGGTTGTGATAATACGGTGGCGGTGGTGTGTTGGTGTTGATGATGTGATTGTGTGTAGATGGTTAATGCGTGGTGGTAGTGTGTTGGTTGTGATGGTGTGGTGGTGTGTGGAGGTGTGTGATGGTGTGTTATTAGATTTCATATGTTTTTTGTCGTTACCTTTCAATTTGTGGTATTTTAAATGGTACTTTATATTTTTTAT